GCATGCTTACCTCTTTAGTGATGAGTCGTTCTCCAGTGTGTTCTCCCTAGATGCATTGTAAAACAGAAACAGTAAGTACTAACGCAGAAAAAGCCAGCAATGTTGTGAGGTTTAGAGATGTAGCTTCAGCCGTAGTGTTCTACAAGCAAGAGGGTTTATATAAGGTTAAGTCTACATACGAGCCAAGTGGCTCATCAGGCTGGAGTTTATCCCGGTTTCTGTAGCATAAAGTGAGCGCACACTAACCATGAGGCCACTGCACCTCCACGGGCGTCTACATAACCAACTTGATAATTCTCTTACCACAATTAAAGAGTTGATGATATCAAATGGCACTGATCCACCATGTTCCTTTATTATTCTGAGAGCCATGAACCTGTAACACACACACAAAGAAAAAACTCATTAGCCTGCACTGCAGGCTTAAACACTGAATGGGTACTGTAACTCCTTCCATCCCTAGTCTCCCTAACCATCTCCCCTGTTTTGTGCCTGCAAAACATTGCAACACTTACAACATGTTTGATGCGCATGATGACAAACTTTAGTTCATCACTTAACACACAGTGCAGACCTATATTTGGTTTTCTGTAAAGTAATGTGAACAAGATTAACAGTGAAACGCCATATATATAGAAGACTAGAGTTTTTCTGTCTGAGAGGGGAGAATACATGCAAACCATGCCAGCTGATCAGAGCAACACATACCGTAATTGTTCTCCAGTTGTGAACTTAAAGTTGCTCAACTTTGCTTTTGATGGATCAATACTTCCTGCATTTACTGGAAAAAAAATAACAAGATTGACACTCTAAGTACAGTGTAACAACAGTTATGTTATCAAATGTTGCAAGTGTTAAAACTGTAATAATATCAAGATCAAACCAATGTTCTGTTATTTGAAAGAACAAGGAATATATTAATAGATAATTGTAATATTTTTCAACTCTAAAAACTGCAACTGATTATTCTGCATAGCTGGTGGGACTACGTACACGAGTGATTTTGTTTTGGCCATAAAACTGTGAATACAAGTGGCAAAGCTGCGTGGAACGGTGAAGAGTCTAGTTGAATTTCAACCTGCGAATTCCCTCATGGGTTCAACCCATGAGAGAATAAAATGGCGCCTCCTGTACAGAAAATCACTCGCCCACGTAACCAATCTCCTTCCCAGGACCCGAAGATGAGAGTCCCTGGGAATGAGGTTGGAATCCCATCAGCTATGCAGGCCAGCAACTGATGCACTAATGAGTGCAAATACTGAATTTTTGTAAATCAAAAAACTACCAGAGGAACTTTTC